TATGACATAGTCACAAACACACTTACACACACACACACACACACACACACACACACACACACACACACACTTTCACTCCACCATCACCCCCTCTCCTTTGATCTGTCTCTCGGGGACGAAATCATGGAGCACATGCAGGCCGAAGATACAGATGCGCATTCATGTATGTGTGCGATCAGACAGAGAAGCGGCAAGAGAGAAGGATTACCGGAAGAGTACAAGGTGGAGGACAGGTGAATAGATGGGATGCATTACAATCTTCCAAACACATGCACACAAATATGATGAACATTTCAATGTCACTGTCCAAGGTCAAATCCTCATCCCTGCATTAACCGTCCTTTAATACCTAATTCCTCTCTCACACTCTGTTTATCATCTCTCTCTGTGCTGTCTCCACACCCACACCCCCACACACACACAAACACATACACACACACACACACACACACGCATGACTACACGCATGGCTCCGTCGCTGGGTCCTTGAAGGCCCCTCTAAGCTGGGAGGAAGGAAAAGTACTTTTCTGCCTCATCAGCCTGCTAAGCCTGATGCGGAGAAAGCACAGCTAGAGGCTCCTTGACGACCGATGCTAACAGCAAATGCACACTTTGCAAAGCATGAAGGCCACTGGGCTCCACCTAAAGGCTAACGGTAATCATGCTTCAAGTCTGTGGTCGGTGAGCACAACTCCTAATAGCTCTTCAGCACAGACGTCGCCAAACTGACTGGTCAACGCTTCATCGTTTACATGTCTGAAGTCCAATTTCTTCGGTAGATGTGCAAGTAAAACGTTATCACAAACGACTTCTACTTTTTTCTCTGGCAAATTCAGCCCAGAGACATATTTTTACAATTTGCATGTTTTGTATATCGGATGCCAGCTCTTGCTGTGCGATTACATGTTGCAGATTGTCATATTGCTTGTGAAAAACATATGTCCATTTTTGTCATAATTTTGTTTTTTTTTTTTTTACATTAAGGGAATGTCTGAAACGCGGATACTCAATTAACGTTAAAACATGGACTTGCGTGATTTTCAAAGAACAGCGATGATATGCTAGTTAGAAAAAAAGAGAAGATTTTTACCTTGTATTAATAGTTCAAAGAAGACTTTTGTAAGTGGATGTGAACTCTGCACGCCCCCAGTGATCTTTGCAAGCCATGTAAGATTGTACAAGGTTAAATTTAGTTCAAATTAAATATTAAACCTAAACTTGAATGACTTCATGGGAAGAAGAATTGCACAGGATATAAATACCCTTGGTGCAATTATGGTATGATGGTGACATCACAGCTTACACACACACACACACACACACACACACACACACACACACACACACACACACACACACACACACACACACACACACACACACACACACACATTATATTATAATGGCTACTTGTCGTTTACTTACCGGAGCGGTTATTTGGAGATGTCCTGATAGGCGACACGGAGGGAGTTCGAGAAGATGAGTATGGTCTCTGTCGATCTCGCTCTATTGTGGAGGCAGAGCCCACAAAGTGATACGGGGAGTAGCCATCCTGAAGTAAAAACACACCAGGGGAGACACTCATAATGATGAGAAGAAAAGGCAATGTACCGAGTTTGTGTGTGTATGTGTGTGTATATATAGGCGCTCAGTGAAACTGGCAGGGTAGAGTCCCTCGAGGAGCAAATTTGGAAAGCCCTGGGTAAGATAGAGAGATGTTATTCATCCCATAATGCAAATAAAAGTCTGACTATTGTTGACAAAGTTTGAGGTTCAACCCAAATCAGCGTAAAGCTATGAGGAGCAGCGAGCTCCACAATTTGTTCAAAGAGCAACAGCTTGATTCAAACAATTAATTGTCTTTTCTATTCATCCTCAGGCTGTCTGTTCCAAAATGTACTTTTTCTGCCAAAACGGACATCATCACATCAATCACCTCTTTCATGATCAGAAATTGTTCTGAACACTGAGAGCGGGGGCGGGGGGACCCACCCCCACAACACAACTGGCCAGCACAATTGAAGACATTTTCATCAAGCCCGAGCACTGTCTTATTACTTTACTGGCAGGGACATTTGAACACAACAAGTTGGCATGAATAATTACTGCGGTGCCAATGGCTTTTCTGTACGCATGTGTATTGGTTGAGCAGTGATTGGAGCAAAGCACTTTTCAAAAATGGATTATGATAGTCCGCAACAATCACAGAGCTGGAACCCAATTCAATTTAGCATGAAGATAATTGGCTACCTCTGAATACAAACCACAAGTAGATGATAAAAATATAAATGGAGATGTGCTCCATCATTGCTCGGCTGTCTGGGGGGCACGGGCTTGCCAATTGGTTCTGGCGTGCATACATTTGGGTTGGAGGTGGGCTGAATCGTTTAAGTGGAGTTGCTGGCGAGGAGGAGGAGGAGGAGGAATTAGATGAGGCAGCGGGAGAAAGGAGGAGGACAAGTGAGACAAAAGATGACAGCACGTAATGAGAGCGGGGAGGAGCGCGGAGAGTAATGGCGGGGCGGTAATGGGCCAGGCAAGCAGAAAGAGATACAGAGCAAAGGATCAAGAAGTAGGCTGTGTCCTCCTTTGACTTTCTCGCCAAAGCAATGAAGACAAATAGAAGGCGGCTCCTCTGACACCCAGTGCTTCAAAAGGTCGATCCGTTCCAGCCGCGCTCACTCTTACCACGTATCCATCAGTTCACTCGTCCTCCCACCCAACACACATCTCATTGGAAGCCGAGTAACCTCCTGATGGGCCACGCCGCCACCCCGCAATTGGACACTGTCAAAGTGTCATGTTGCTCAAATGAGCGCAGTGGCCGAGTTTTGAATAATGAATGCAAATTTCGCGGTGAGCGATGGGAGCGCTCTGCCGTCCGCGGATGCCGATCTTTCATCGGGTCCTCGAAATGAGCCGCAGGGGGATTGGAGAGCGCGGGCGAGATACCCAAGGAATAGTGAAACATTCCATTGATTGAATTCACGAGATGGATGATCGAGGAGAATACGTATGCGTTTGCTTTTACCAAGGCTGAACGGGTGGCATCACTGATAGCACATCTGTCTCCCAGTCGGGAGATCTGGGTTTGAATAACCGTTGGAACATCCCTCAATGGAGTTTGAAATTGTTGCCATTAGCATTTCTTCTTCTTCTTCTTTTCCTTTCGGCTCGTTCTGTTCCATCCATGCGTGTCTTCTCCATCCTACTTTCTGACATCGTCTACCCCTTTATCAAAACTTCTCGTAGCTCTCTCGTTAGCTCCCTTGCCTGCCAGCTCCATCCTTCTGCCAATGTACTCACTATCTCTCCTCAAGACGTGTCCAAACCAATCCAAGTCTGCTCTTTCTAACTGTGTCCGCAAAAAGCCTTGACTTTCCCACTGATGACACACAATTTTTTTCAGTGTTGTACAAATGGCACAAAGGACAAAAAAGCTGGCTGTTTCAATACAAATCCGTTCTGTGTGCATTTCAATCAAGCAAATGTCTCTTTTTTTTTTTTTTTTTTGCTTATCAGACAATAGTGGACAGTTGTTGATGGAGGCGGCCAACCGGTGGCATCCCTCCAAGGAAGTGAAGCAGGAGTGCAAACACAGAATGAGGACATCGAACTCAAAGAAACCGAATACATTTGGGTACAAGCGGCATTTGAAAGCACACTGGAGACTTTTACACATGATTTATCTTTAAGGCAAGCGCCACTGTTGCTGAAAACAGATTTTGGCTTTGGTTTATTAATGACTGCTGCACCACTGATCTTTCAAGTAATCTCAGATGCTCTCCTTCGTGCAGTTGCTGTTTGTTTATGGGCCCTCACCCAACTAACATCCACTGCCTCCGCCGCAATTCCCTTTTCTGCTCCTGTGGAATTGCTACAGGAAGCGATAAACTCTACTTAGTCCTGTGACTGTCGCTTGACAAAAACAAACATGCACAAACCATACACTGATGTACTCGGAGAAAACGGAAAAACAAGTCTCAAACAAGTAGACTTATTAATGACCCTGTACTTTTTTCAAAAGGTTTTTTTTTCTCCCCTCATCCACAACACTGACCCAAACTCTCTCTGTTTTTGCATTTGATCAGAAATATTTGGTAGAGACTCTTCTTGTCTAAATTGTATGCTAATCCATGTCAGGATTGGAGGCTAACAGGATTTTTGGCTGGCTCAAACATCCATGACCTAATATGTGCAAGGGAATAATGCAGGGTTCTGGGCTCAGATGATAAAGCCCAAGAGTGGATTTTGGAATGTAACAGTTGCCGGAGCAAAAAAAGTCAAACTTTTTTTGTTTGCTTGTTTTTTGTTTACCAGGCACAGTTTCGTGAGTGACTATAGAAGGAGACCAACAAAATGAACAGTAGTTAGACAATCCAAACACTGTGAGCTGAACTTAATTAAAGTTGCTGCCAATAGAAACCTCATTTGACCTTTATTACTGAAAACACTAACCATCGAGAAAATACCTTGGAGGAAAATAAACCTGTCAGTGTTGACTTGCAGTTCACACTAATCCCCACTGCCCACTGCCATTACTGAACTATTAAAAGGCTGCAGACTACAAGACAAGGCCAACTTCACTCCAGAACAGAGTGGCCAGTCTCATTTGATTGACAGTTTGATAGCAATTTCAACATGCAAGCTCCACACAGGATTCCAGCCCACGACGTCTGCACTGTGAGGCGGACGCGCTAACAAGACGATCACCATGCCGTAATTTGTATCAAAGCGCACGGGTGTGAGATTCATGCACCTATTACCTCGCTCGCCGAATCTAATCCGATCCATCACCGTGTTCGAACGAGCCTTACAAAATCTGCGCGTCCATCTTTGGAAGTGCTGACGTAGCAGCCTACCAGGAAGTCAAAAGTGAGGCTCTGCCCACTTATTTAGATGAGAAGTAGCCCACACCTCAACAAAACGTGTCTTTCGTTGTTGCAAAACAAAACCCGGTCTTTGTGTATATAAGAAGGATGAAGAGGAGAAGACAAGCTGCGTCTTCCATTGTTGATGAAGGCTTTCTCCATTGACATCATGCCTGATCTCGACTCAATGGATTTCAAATGAAACCCAACGTATGATCAAATGTTTTGTAAAACGGTAACAACAGGCACACCCTCCGAAGAGATAAAAAGGGGACTTCTCTGGCTAAAACTCAGAAGTGAAAACGTCTGTCCACTTCAAGTTGACAAATATTCAACCCCTAAGCAGTCCACTTGCCCCGATACAACATTTGCCAATTATCACCTGGCTGGTTCATCGTGGGCAGCGGCTAGTTCTGTGTATTTCTGCTTTTCCTCCACACTAACTGGAGCAGAACACCAAGCCAAGGACGCCATCTTTAATACCATCCAATAACTCGACAACACGCTCGTTAAGTACACTGGATTGCAGGCAACCTTGGTGGCAGATATTCACTTAACAGTCATTAGAAACAAATGAAGGAAAGGGAACGCTCATTACCTTTAATCAAGATGCCAGGGTGTGTGCATTCATCATTGGAAAAAAAAAAATACAGTAATGAGGAACAACATTTTTTTTTTTAGTGTGTGTTAATGGTGCATGTGTGAGCAATGGGGGGGAAAAAAGCACCATAAACTAACAAGCATGCTCACACAAACACCCCTCCACTGAAATCTTCCTCTTTGTATTTGCCTGTGTAGATGTGTGATGTCCAAATAAGATTCTTTAATGGGAAATGGGTTTCCTGGTAGCCAGCAGTGTTCAACAAGTTTTTTTTTTTTTCTTGGAGCGTATAATGGTTCCAAGTAGAGAAATCCTTGATCTTTGGTTTGGGGTAGGTTTTGACTGACCTCAAAGATAGCAAACAAACAGTGACGTGTGTGCACACACACTCACGCTCAACGACACTGTGGTCATTTTTTGCTCGCACATACATGATGGACGTCATCATTATACTTGGATCATTAAACTGCACTGTCGTCATTAAAAGGACATTTTTCCTATCCAACACTTGTTCCGTCTATTCTTTGGAGGTACCGGTAGTTCAGCCCTCAACCCACCTGATGAATATCTTGCATGTCACACTCCGAAACATAACCATGGAGGCACAGTGGAGCAAGCTCATCAGTGTTTACTGAAGCGCAAATCCTCTTCAATGATTCCGTCTGCACATAGCGCCGATGCACGTTTAACCATGTGCGGGGACCCCATTGACATGCGGCCAGACTTAAGCAGCAGGGTTGAACTGGGCTCACTACAGAGTTGCTGTTCAATGTCTTTGTGTGAGCAATAGCGTCTATGGACGGAGGTGTTTGCAGTTTCGACATGTTTTAAGGTAGCCATCTATTTGTCTTGAGAGGACGTTGCACCTGGTGATTAACTGGGTCACACACTAGCTACAGATCACTACTTGTTGCGGGGGCATGATTGAATTGGACAATTTTACCTATACATGTGCACATAAAGATTTTAAATAAATGAATTCTAAAAAAAGAAAAAAAACAACCCAGCAACGTGTTGGGGTACACGGCCGTCATGCAGAGTCACCAGTTGCCATTGGCGTGAAAGCGCACCGTCGATATAAAGCGGACAATGAATAGAGCATTTGAAATGCACAGCATGTATTCATGATAGCAACGTGTTACCTTCTTGTAGAGGGAACGCAAGTCTCTGTACTGCCACATGCTGCTGAGCACCTGAGAGGCCGCCTTAACCACCTTGGCCGAGTGTCTGAGGGGAGATAGGACACGGTTACATCTCCGCCGCACCATTACTTCTCATCACATTCCAAAGTGTTATTCCGTTTCCTGTCAATATCACCTTGGAAAGAAATGTGGAGGTTGTCGGCTCTTTAAGAGCAAGAGTGCCATTGCTATTTTCTACAGCCAGGTAAAAGGACAGCGCCTTATCCCTGCCATTCATGCGTCCTTTGCCTGGCCACTTTGCGTGGAAAATGACTCCGGAAGCTCATAAGCAGTGGCTCCTTAGAGAGGAAAGTAGAGCAGATGCTTGCAAAATGAAAAGTGCTCTCTCCTGGTAGTAAACATCACCCTTTTGCTCAGTTTCCCGCCGTTAACAGCAGCAACAAAAGCGCTTCAACACCTACTGTATAGCTCAATTTTCTGCTTGGACTCAGTCGACGTTTGTGTTTCCGCCGTCAAAAAAACATGTGACATCACCCTCTTGTTTCGAGAACATGAATAAGACTGTTTGCTGGGTGGATGAGACATTGGACCTTGCCGCTGTTCCTACCATAGAATTAAAAAAAATGTTTTTGTACAATAAAAGTGCTTTTTTTCTTTTTTTTACACCAACAAATGCAGCGTAAATGCATTAAACTAAGTGGTTAAACTATTGGATTTCTTGTTGAGGCAAGAGCTACATTTTGTAATGGAGGCAAGGCTGTTCATAAGGAGCATTTCTTCTCAGTGAACCTACCTTGAAAAAAAAAAACCCAAACCAAAGATGTGTGAGCCATTAGAAGCTGACTAAACTCACTGAGAAATTTGCACTCTCTTCCCGCCACGGGCTCATCGCTCTCTGTAATGATGCCCTTGAGCAAAGTTCGGTGAATAGTCTGTCCTTCTCTTTCGGTGTCTCTTTCTCTGCCCTCTCTTAACAATAACTCATTGTTTGACGTGCGGTTGATGTCTTTTCTAGCAACGCCTGACTTGCTGGTTGCCATAGCAGCAAGCAAGAACACCCTGCTTCGTCTTCTGACCTATATCATTCCTTGTTGTCGTTTAGGGATACACGAGTGCATCTGGATAGCCGGTTTTACGGAACAGATTGCCTTGGAATTTGGAGGTTCCACTAGTATTTTTTTTTCTTTGCTAAAAGCTGCACATTTACGATAAGAAGACAATTTATGTTGTTGAAAAAAAAAATCACTCATGATAACGCCAAAATTGTAAACGTTGGTAAAGAAAAACAACAAAAAAATGCATTCATCAAGAAGCATCAACGCAACAGAATTATGTGGCGAGGTTGATGGCTGACTTAAGGTATTCTTTTTGAGTTTCCGGGAGTCGAAATTAAGGTGTCAAAGCAGTAAGCAAATGAACGAACGGACAAATATATAAAATGTGTCTTTAGTCTGAGGGGTGTCAGCTCAATCATGCGGGACACTGTACGTATATTTGAGCAGATTTAAATGTTTTGAAGATAAATGTGAATCAAAAAGAACCCCACCAAAAACAAACCAAAGTGACCTTCATATGACAAGTTAGCGACGCTCACTTTTCTCCTTTGCTGCGGGCGATGCCAATCAGTTTTTCAATTCCACCGGCGTCCCGGAGGGCTTTGGCGTTCTCCATATTCTTGGTGATGACTTCATGTAGTGCGCAGCAGATGGCAGTGACGGTGTCATCAGACATGGCCTTGCTGGCTGGACCTGGAGTACTCAAGGTCCCGCTGCTGGGGGCGTTGTTGTTACTGCTGCTGCTGCCAGGTAGTCGATGGATCAAGTCTCGCATAGCGTATTTACCTGAAACGGGAAGAGGGAAGGAGATTTTTTTTTTCCCTCATTAAAAAAAAAAAGATGTTGGTTTCATAGGTGCACAAAGGAGGGAACTACTGCTCAAAAACACTCAATGGCCGCCACCATGCGCGGACTTTTTGGATCCATGCTATACTTCAGCATGACTTACAATTGTTTTCAAAGGTAATTTTGCCCAAGGGGCAAGCCAGGCAGTGCCCCTAGAGTCCAGTTTTTACTGCGCATTTAATGGCTAGAATGTAGATTAAGTTGTCTCAAGCTCGCGTGCTCTTTGGGAAGTCAGTGTGAGACTGAATGTTTTTTTTTTTGATAACTCCTCTTGTCCTTTGAGTGGCTACTAAATGTTCTGCCGAGCAACCAATATCCATCCATTCTGGTATTTTCTTCATCCGGCCGCTATTTGATAGAACGAAGTAACAGAACGTACGCGGCAGATCAGAGGGGCCGTGTGGGTATTTAACCTCGTTTCAGAAAAGTTTTGAAGAAATCAGAAAGTACAGCAAACACTTATGACTTAACGACGCCGCACGCTCGCGCACTTTGACTCCGCCATAATTCAGCGGACTTAAATCACAAAGTGCTGCGAAGGAAATTTAACAAGTTAACAGATCCTTTGAGTGTCTAAGTAATAAAGCAAACGTCTTGCACAGCGAGTGAGTGCTTGGATAACTCCATAAAGCTTTTGGCCTGAGAGGGCTCACTGTAAATCCTCTCACGCGGCCGCATTAATGCTCACGCTTAGAATGCAATAAAAGGGGCCGCCTTGCGATATTTCAGTGAATAGGCTGGCATATGAGGAGACAGAGAAAGAAATGACATTCAAAGGATGAGCTGTTGGGCTCATTAAGGAGTTGCGGGAGATTCGGTCGGATAGCAAAAAGCCATCACAGCAGCGTGGAAGAACTCGGGAAGACGAGCAAACCACACCACAAGCAAAACGGACACCATATGGCGTGAGGCCAACCGTTCCAGTAAGCCATACGGGTGCACATTTATGATGAAAGGACACAAGAATCTCTCTTTGGTAGAGGTGGGCGAAAAACGTGTGCTTCTGAGACCCAAAACGCATCTGAGTGACAACAGTCAAGCAAGGGTGCCATGCAGCAGGATTCCAGAGCATCCTACAGTCGAACCTCGTTTCAACGTTTCCACTCCTATAATTTCACATCATTCATTCAGGCACGTTGCAATGAAGTTTGATTGTATTAAGAATTGATTTGGAAGCTATTTGCAATGATTCGCTCTTCATAAGGACACAATAAGGGAGCCGAATTTTAAGTCTTGGCACAACCTCTTTTCTATCCCACCCAGTTGTCATGATTTCTTTTCTGCTTTTCTTTCTCCCCTTCCAAGATTGATGATGAGACAAGATGTTTCTCTCCAACTACGTCATCACTATGATGCCCAAGCGACCTCGCAGGCTTTTGGCAAATCCAGTCCTCCCGTTGACCGCTAATAAGTCAAAGTGATCCGGGAAGGGCTGAGAACGGCAAATAACCTGGACGTTCCGCGATGACACTAATAACCGTCAGACAGAGAGCCACACCGACGCCAACGATGAGGAAACACTCGTGGTGAGCTCATGTATGTGTGCAAAAAGATGACACACAACCGCACGCTCACACTATCTGTGAGGATGAGGCGTGGGTTAATTGGCCCAGCGTTATCGCTGTCAGACAGGAAGAAGCGGCTGGGTTTTTTTTTTTTTTTTTTTTAGCCCAAAAAGTTGAGCGAAATTTATAACTTGAATCGCACCGACTCATTGAATGACTGATGGACATACTCACGATGGCTTTTGTTTGAAAAATTTGGGAATGACTGACTGAATAATTCACCCACGACATGACTAACTTACTGACCGGCTAATTTCGCGCGTGCCTTCGCCAGAAAATTGACCATGCCAGTGACTGATCGTTTATTGAGTGAAGTACTGATTGCATGAACAACTCATTTATCAGGCCACTGATTAAAGACAGATGGTAATATTCAAAGTAGGGAATGGCTGTGCTGAAGGAGGGCGTGGGAACTAGTCGACACCTACAGGTGCGTTTTAAAACATTTTGTCCACATATGTGCGCAATTCCATCCATTCTGTGCAGGTCAAATAATGATGGTGGTGTTGGGCGAGCTGCAGCCCCCCCATCTGACTTTGGGTGGGAGGCGGGGTGCACCCCGGACTGGTTGCCGCAGGGCACCTTTAAACAAACAACCAATCACTGTCACGATCCTCCCTTCAGTTTTATTTTGCTTCTCTGTGCGTGAGCTCTTCCACGTTTTTTTATTTTTTATTATTCTGGTGCTTCTTCGCTACGTGCTGCAGAACGGCCTGGCCTTGCTCCATCTTGACCTCGCTTGCCCCGGGCTGGCCTCCGTTGCTTTCTCCATAACAATAGGCACCAACGGTTGGGGCGGGCTCAACTGAACTGCGGGAGCCTGTATTGTGTTCTGAGGCTCTCTCTAAAATATGTTATAAAGTATCACTTTTTTTTTCCTCCATTATAATCGACCGCAATTTGTAAGTGTGACTAATGCAATGTCCATTGTGTGCCGATTCTGCTCTTCAACTAGTGATAAATCATCAAGTTGTGTGTGAGTCGCTGGAGGCCCACACATCATCATTCTGGCTAACCTTCAAAGTGTTTTGCTCACCAACACAAGTACGGAGAGATGTCAGGAAACCCCGTGATGGATCTTGTATGATGTGTGAGCGTCATGCGATACCCGCCCTTCCTGCGCCTGAATGTTGCAGCTGTGAGTTTTTTATTTCATTAGCAGCCACTTATCACAGTTCCCAGCTTCAAACACTCACACTTGCAATCAAGCACTTAGTGAAATCCCCCTGTGGTACACCGCTGACGTTGCCACGGTAACGTCTCGGGCGCCGGCGTCATCAGGGCGAGACACAATGGCCGCGCGAGAAAAGGGGAGAGGTGTTATGAGCTCATGTCTGAGATGGCATTAGAGTGGGCGTTGAATTAAGAAGGTACGTTCGGAGGAAGAATCATACTCGTGCTGAAGACAGGAAGGTGGGCGATGGAGGGAAGAGAGCGGTTTATGTGATAAGGAAAGAAAGGAAAGACCACGAGAGCCCGCAAATTTGCTGATAGACTTGTCATTTCGGGTGACAGTTACATTGCATTTGACGTCGCATATTTCCCATAATCCCCAGTGTTGCTCTCCCGATTTGAATTAAGTACTCGCTGCAAAAAAAACAAGTGAAAAAAAAAATCTCATTAAATCGAGCTGTGAATTAATTAAGTGTCTTGAATTAATACCGATTTTGAATTAATCGCTTTTCATCCGGCATTAACTTTGTTTTGGTGGCAAGCGCAGCGTGTTTATAAAGAGCGTCACAAAATAGCTGCTCCATTTGGAACGGCGCGACGATTGCTTGGCATTCCAGCTTCTCAATTCATGTGTGTCAAATTGCCATCTCCGAGTCGGCGGTGCAGAATTGCAAAGACGAACCGCACAGAGCTAAATGTCACTTGTTTCTCATGACATGGCTTTATAGAATATGATACAAATGCCAAACAAAAGAGGTGCAAACAGGTGGCTATGAAACCAAAAGGTTGAGAGATGAGATGAATGACATCAACATGCCAACAGATTACATTGAAGTCAACTGAAACGCACGCAAATGTGTGAACGTGTCGGCGTCAGCCGTCAGCGCTCGCCCTTTATCGATTGATCTTCATCTATAACCATTTCTTGGACAACACATTAACCGTAACCCCGCCCCCCTCCAAAAAAAAAAAAAAAATCCATCTGTAGTTATTCAGCCTCAATTCTCCATACAAGCCACCCAGCGGTGACAACGTCAAACTTGGCAGCAGTCCCGTGACAGTAATTTGAGGGTATTTAGCGAAAGACCTCTGCCACCCGAGGATGGTTTTGGCCGAGTTGAAAAGAAACAAGAATTGACTGCGAGATTTGAGTCAGTGGGTGTTAATAAAGCTTCTCCACAAGGGCCAAGCAGGATGGGGCTCGGAGTGTCTGGCCTCTACCTCTTTGCTGCCAACACCAATCATGTCACACCTTGCCGAGAGCAAACGCTCGTCTCCGAAGCGGCTCTTACGCTTCTCCGTTTGCATCACTCCGAGTTTGTTGTCATCTCAGTTCACCATGGCTGACAGGGCCGTCAGAGCCAAGTAGAAAATAGACCGTTGTCGAAATGACGACTCAGCGTGTTTATAAAGAGCGTCACAAAATAGCTGCTCCATTTGGAACGGCGCGACGATTGCTTGGCATTCCAGCTTCTCTCTCAATTCATGTGTGTCAAATTGCCATCTCCGAGTCGGCGGTGCAGAATTGCAAAGACGAACCGCACAGAGCTAAATGTCACTTGTTTCTCATGACATGGCTTTATAGAATATGATACAAATGCCAAACAAAAGAGGTGCAAACAGGTGGCTATGAAACCAAAAGGTTGAGAGATGAGATGAATGACATCAACATGCCAACAGATTACATTGAAGTCAACTGAAACGCACGCAAATGTGTGAACGTGTCGGCGTCAGCCGTCAGCGCTCGCCCTTTATCGATTGATCTTCATCTATAACCATTTCTTGGACAACACATTAACCGTAACCCCGCCCCCCTCCAAAAAAAAAAAAAAATCCATCTGTAGTTATTCAGCCTCAATTCTCCATACAAGCCACCCAGCGGTGACAACGTCAAACTTGGCAGCAGTCCCGTGACAGTAATTTGAGGGTATTTAGCGAAAGACCTCTGCCACCCGAGGATGGTTTTGGCCGAGTTGAAAAGAAACAAGAATTGACTGCGAGATTTGAGTCAGTGGGTGTTAATAAAGCTTCTCCACAAGGGCCAAGCAGGATGGGGCTCGGAGTGTCTGGCCTCTACCTCTTTGCTGCCAACACCAATCATGTCACACCTTGCCGAGAGCAAACGCTCGTCTCCGAAGCGGCTCTTACGCTTCTCCGTTTGCATCACTCCGAGTTTGTTGTCATCTCAGTTCACCATGGCTGACAGGGCCGTCAGAGCCAAGTAGAAAATAGACCGTTGTCGAAATGACGACTTGGAACCCAACAAACGATGACATTATACGTGAGTCTTCCTCTAAAGCTGCTGTTGATTAGGAGATTCTTGCCAGAATTCTTTGCTGTCTCGTTCTGTTCTGAAGAGGCTAATTAAGCAGCGCAATAAAAGTTGATCAATTGCCGTCACCTATTCTCAATTAGCTAACTTTTTAATGATTCCCAGAGGAGATCATATATTGTTCGCATTGCAAAAAAAACCCCAAAACATGAGAATAGCTCATATCCAATTCTGCGATGTGCCCCATCCATTCATTTAAACGAAGCCTTTAGGTCAATAATGTAACAGAACAGCTCACTTGCATTTGGTGCAAATGCCTTTTTTTTCAATGGCTATAACTCCTTTTTAAAAAGGAAAAACAAAAGAAAGAGCTACTATATTTGACATAGGTGACAGTGATTGAACACATTTAGAGGTTTTGACACGAAATCCTATCCCAAATAATATGCAAAGTTACAAAAACTATCGTGTTGAAGCCCAAACTAACGAGCAAAGAAATGAAAGAAAAACTTCTGTACATCTGTGTGAAGTGCAAGGCATCTGCTACGATGCGCCAGCTCGATAAATGTTGCATGGGAATGTGGCACTTTGACAGTGGCATTACTCTGTGTTCTTCCACCACATCGAGAGAGCCCGCAGAGACTCCCGAAATCCTTCCCTGCAAGTGAGGGAAGCACGGTTGCTATAGAAACCACTGAGCCTACCCAAAAGCTGCAATAATTAGACATAACGGAGGCAGAGACACACATGGACACTCCCCTGCAAAAGTCTTGGAACCGACAGGCCAATTTATTTTTCGCTGTCATTCTCCAAATCACTTTGGTTTCATCTTTCTTTAAAGCGGCAGACAAACATTTTTTTTTAATTGAGAGGTGCTGATTTTCATCCCTCCGTACCACCCGCACACCACAGAATCTCCCAAGCCAAAGCCGCAAAGCAGTTTTTGTTCGACGATTCACCAGATTCTCTTTTGACCGGCATGGAAGAAAATTCAATGATCCACACTCACCGATTAACTCCTTGTTCCGGACGTCCAGCGCCATGTTCCTCAGAGCGGTGGCCACGGCGCACACAACTTTGTCGTTATCGATCCGCAGTAACTCCACCAGGATGGGGAGTCCTTTCTCCTTACGGACAGCGGCCCGGATATACACAGACCACTGCGGAGCAAGAGGAAAGGTCCAGGGGGATCATCTTTTTCAGCAAACTCTTTAATGGATCATGAGAATGTTCATCAGGGAAACGCAAACGGGCACCATCCAAACGGAGCTTTTCCAGCCTTTTTGCCCCCTTTTTTTTTTTCTTCTTTTTTCATCCTCAGTATGAGCACAAATGATTTCTGAATATAAGTGAGTCGGTGTAGCAAAACAGCCGTGAGAGTCAGACGGAGCCCCACGCTCGAGAGGGAAATGGGAGATTCAGGGTCCGAATGAGAGGCTGAAGTCATACAACCGACTCACAGTTGATCTATCTTAAAAGGGAGAATTATTTGAACTGGAGAGAAGTCTTCAGGGCTTGGAGACCACTCTATTCTCCCTCAGCAACTATCAGGGTACACTTAGATGTGTTTCTCCGCCCAAGACCACTCAAGGACTGCGAGCTTGTGTGTCATCCGCAGATAAATGGAAATAGGTAAAAGATAATCTGCCTTTTCAAATCACTCGAACTTCAAGCCGTTATTGTCTATTGCAGTCAGCAATCGGGGGAAAGAAGGCTTTCATCATTTCAGGAGAATAATCGAGTGAGGAAAAATGAGGGCGAAGAGCGGAGAGCATGCCATCCTCTTGCCTTATCTGGGAAACGGGATGCGTTTTCCCTACAGCTTCTACTTTCCCACTCTTCTCTATCGAGAAACTCACCAGACCAAACACACGTGGACAGATGCAGAGAAATTCCCGTTGTCCGCAGTGCGTCCTAGAATGCAAGTGCGAGTTTCAACCAAGAAAAACAAATGTAATCTCACGGGAAGCTGTCAACCGCATCCACGTTCCCGCAATGCCCATTTGCGACCAACCAAACGTGCCAGTTGAGTTGTGTCATTTCAAGGTGACACGCTCTCAATGTCGGTCTCGTTCCAAAAAAAACAAGCAAACCAAAAAAAATTGTATTCAACATCTCCAGTTTTGCCCAAGGCTAACGCCGCCTTTACTGATAGCATCCCTTTGGACTATATGAGACATTCCTTATGCTCAACAAGCTGCTTCCATCAGTTGAACTCTGGCTGGACTCCTTTTGGCTCAGATTTGAAGGCCTTACTTTCAAATGATTCCATTCCTGCAGTAACAAGCAAACCAAAAAAAAGTGTATTCAACATCTCCAGTTTTGCTCGAGGCTAACGCCGCCTTTACTGATAGCATCCCTTTGGACTATATGAGACATTCCTTATTCTCAACAAGCTGCTTCCATCAGTTGAACTCTGGCTGGACTCCTTTTGGCTCAGATTTGAAGGCCTTACTTTCAAATGATTCCATTCCTGCAGTACAAATTATAGGCTTCATTTCAAATTTCATTTCGTCTGCTTTTAATTAATTGGAGTCTGGGAATTCATGAAAAAAGAATGCCAAGATATTAGCCAATCGGACTATTCAACCAAGCATCCGCTCTCTTGTCAAAGAGTGCACGTCAATGAAGAGTTTGGGGAACAATTTGGACGTATCCTCCTTTACCTTCCAGCTGCCAGCAGCCAGGTTCTGCAGGGCTCCGGCCGCTCCCTCGAGGGTGTCGGGATTGGAGCATTCGGACAGCAGGGTGAGGTAGGGCTTGACAATGGTGGGGTGCCAGAGCATTTGAACTCCTTTGGGGGGATCCACCGTGTCTGGAAAGGGGCCAACACCGTCCCACTGGAAAAGAGGACAAGAAAAAAAGGAAAAACACATGAACACATGAACTATTTCCATTTATGAAGTATTAAATAAGATGCGGCCTGACACTTTGATTTCTTTTTTTTTTTATTTATTGAAACTGATGAAATGGAAAGAGTGAGCAAGGGCAAAGGATGAAATAAAATCGCTGCTTTCACAGAGTAACTGCATTTTTATTTGGGAGAAATAAACCCAAAGCATTTTAACCGCCACCTCTTCTCCACATCTCGATCCTTTTTGTTCACTCACTTGGCCTGTCACTTTTTCTTCCTCCACCCTCTCTCTCTCTTTTTTTCCTACCATTCACTGAGATTGTGTCCCTTCTTTTCTCCCAGGATGATTCTTTCACTCTTTCTTTCTTTCTCGATGTGTCGCTGTTTTTCTGTCGCACATGCCGCGCATTATCCCGATAAACTCTTCTTTCCCCGTATTCTTTTTCTATTTCCAGACTTCTCCCTCTTCTTTGAGTTTTCCTCCCCATCGCCCTGCTCGTTCCGCTCAACTGCTCCCCCATACCCACTTCACGGTAAACTAGGCAAGTGTGTGCTTTGCACTAGGTCTGTGTGAGAGGGTCTGTGCATGCCATATTTACATCAATTGTCTGACGGCAAAACCAAACCCTTGATGCATATTGGAGACTGAACACAACAACCTATTACCGACATTTGTTGGCGGGAGTGAATGTGAACAGATGATGTTTATGTCGAATGCTCAAAAGGTACATTATAGTGGCGTTCCAAGGGGAAAAGCAAAGCTCTCACGCCTATTGTGGTTGATTCAAGAGATGACAGCAAGCCATAAAAAAAAAATCTATTGAATTTGCATGACTGCTACACAAACAGGACAGAGCAAAATGTTTTATTTTGAACCGAGGAGAACACTTATGAAGTTCCTAATTTTGGAGAAGTACCTCAACAATTCATGGTGCCTCGTGGGGTTGAGGTCAAGGCTCTCAAGTTCTTCCAAACCGAGAGTGAAAGGATTTGTGCAGGGTGGGAAAGAAAATGTTTGGCCATTTGTAACCTTACAAGAGCCACTGCAAAATATCTTTGCAAGAACAACAAGACCTCAGCGGGAACTAAGGTCTCGTCCAACTGCTTAATCGAATCAATGAATGAAGACGTTTGTCCTTATTGCGTGTATTTGATTAAAATGAACCACTTCTTCCTGCCACTGGTGGCAAGAAATTGTGTGGATGTGTGCATGCGCGTTTACTCGTATGCAGCAGTCAATTAGGAGTGTTTAGCTTTAGTTCAGACTCCCACGCTGCTCTTTGGCCTTGCTGTCAGAGACTCTAATAAATGATTAAGTGGACTTCATTACCACCTAAGTGACACCGCCTACCCTTATCTCTTGCTGGCGATCTGTTGCTCATTATTATTCCATTTTCTCCGCTCCTATCTGTTAGATATTGCATGTCGAGTCGGACTATTTTTGGGATACAGCTTGTATTGGGTGTCCGACTGTGTAGCAAAAGTTTTGGACAGTAAGTGAAAGAAAACCGGCTGCTTTGGGTGTCATTTGCTTCTCCCGAAAGAATACGGAGGTTGAAGACAACATAACCGGCTCGTTTGGAAGCGAAACGGGCGTGAGCTCACCCACTTTGCATCGCAACGTCGATGCAGCAGGCATGCGCGACATCAAGCCGGTGAGTGGCAGGTCAAGATGGAATGGCTCTATGACTTTTTCAGGTCACGTATTTCCCACTTCAGAACAGGTACGTGTGGTTCTGACTTTTTAACCCACCGGGCTTAAGCAAATCTCAGTTTATTAACTTGAAAAGGAAGGAACCGAAGAGACAGAAGGGAGGAGGTCCATGCAATTAAGCTTTTGACAAGATCTGGCTTGAAAAAAAAAAAAAACCTCGCTCATAATATAAAGCGTCATAAATGAATGAAAAGTTGCCTGTGATGCAACTCATTCTAAAGGAGGCAACTGCATTGAAACAAGAGTTTGCGGCACACTTGGCGATCCGAGATTTCCACCCCTCCTCTGCATTATTCAGCGCACACATCCGCAGTCTGGATGACTGACACCGTGTTCTTGCTACAACATGAAAGCCGGCTTCTACTTTTTGGGCCCGCGTGTGTCGGAACACAGCGTTTGGCCACAAATGAATATAAATAAATGAAAGGAGAACTCGCAGCGCTGGGCTGCACCGTCATCACATCTGAACCCGAATGAGATCCGAAGCGGGTTCCCTGCAAATGAGGACTGGTGTTACTGCTTTATTGCATCAAATCTGTGCACTCAAATAGCTTTCTTTCAATATACGCCCAAGGGCAAGTTACTGCACAGGGGCGTAGTTGCTGAGGAGGAGCCGGGGAACCACCCCACCCACTTACAAATAGCTCCATGTGTGAGATTATTCCTATTCATTCAGGACCATCTAATTCATATCCAGTAATGTGAATGTTAATTTGAAGATATGAGATGGTAGCAGCGTATGTCCTCAAAATTCTCTGGAACGCGATTCATGTTCCGCAGTGTACAAAAAATAAAATAAAAATGAACATGACCACATTTTTGTCATGAATAATTCTAAAATAAGACAAGTCACCACTTGTGTGTGTGTGTGTGTGTGTGTGTGTGTGTGTGTGTGTTTTTACCTGGTCAGCACCCTTCTTTTTCTTCTTCTTCTTGCCCCAACAGCCGGAGCTCTCTCCATCACGACCGCCGGAGTCACAGAGGAGGCCATCGAGCTCCTCCAAGCCTCCCTGCTGGCCGTGGGACGTCTCGGCTGCCAAGCGGTAAGACAGGTTCCTCAGGATGCAAACGCAGTTCTCCACAGTCTGAGTTGGGGAATGAGAAAGATGAGGGACCAGATTTAAGCGATGTGCACTCGATGCACTTCAGTGAAACGTCACGCTTGAGAACACGGCTCCAAGTGGAAGTGGAGGCCTGCAAATAAAAGCCTTTTTTTTTTTTTCCCCCGACGACAAGCGGTACTTTTATCCGCCTTCCACCCGTAGGCAGACTTGATGGAGGGAATGAGAGGACTGAGGCAATCCATGGGGGATGTGAATGTGCGTTTTATTAGTTGTGACTCTTAAACAGAATTAGAGAAATCTCAGGTAAACGAGGCCAATAGAATTTCAAACACACCGTTAAACAGGTGAATGTGAGCTCACGCCGATGCGTAAATGTGAGCTTTCGTGCGTGCGGCCATGTTTAGTACGGCTCTGAAAGCGGGGTGTCATCAAGTCGACGGAGCGGAAATTAACAAAGACAAATCCTCCATCTTTTCGCCGAGAGAGCGCCACTTTACACAAGAACAGCCAGGGAGCGTAATTGAACACCCTCGGGAGACGCGACAAACAAAACAACGTCGCACTCCGGCGAGCCGCAGTCACATGAAATCCACTTCCTGCATCCAAACATCAACAGGTTACATATTATTTCCAATTCACACTGACATTTCTATCTTCCGTTCCATGTTTCTTCATTCAGCGGCACAGCCGAGTGAATAAACACGTTTGATCTTGCCGATGATATGTGTTTTGGTTTTTTTTCTTTTATAAAGGGAGTCAAGTTCAAGCATAAATAAACAGACTGACAAATGCTTTTATCTTAACGTCAAAGGCGGCATTCTCCGGTAAGCCTTGGTCTGAGGTTCCTTTTGAGTTTGTAGAAATATTTTCATCACCTTAAAGGCACTATGCCGTCATTTCAAATGACATCCAACCATCTGTACACATATCAAACACATATCTTTTTGACATGATTTCATTTTTTTTAACAAAGAAATCAAAGTCATGGCTTTGTGGGTTTGCACATGGAGAAATTCCCCTTTTACGAAACCAATTATTGGAAGCATTTTAGACCACAACGCAAGATCTGGCCTAAAAAAAGGAAAAAAAAAAAAAAAAAAAAAAAAGAAGGTGGCCGGTCAAACCGCTAAAGCAAAGGAGCCGGCAGTTATTTTGCTCAGAACCGCCTGCGAGTTCACCCGCCAATCAGTCTTTGTTAGCGAGGCAACGGCTTCTCTCCTCCGGTGGCTGCAGTCAGATGGTGGAGAGGAGCGGGCGGATAAACAGTGATTAAGGGAGGCCATTTAGAGAGCCTGGCAGACAGCGAGACCTTGAGAAGCCAGCCAGCCGGACCAGCCACAACATTGTTTATGCGATATCGACTGGCAAACACATACTTTGACACGAGCGCACGTACGCCGCAGGCTTGGTCCGACCGCAGCGTCACATACAGGGAAATGTTCACTGGATGAACTCTCTATGGCTACTAAGAGTAAAATATGACCCCTTCAGCCTCCCCCCCCTCGCCATTTTTGGGAATGATTTGGTCGCAGAGTTACTAAACGGTGACTACAACAGCATAGCATAGCAATCAATACACGCACAAGTGCCCCGTCGTAACAGCAAAGGGTGATATCATAGCAAGGTGATTGGATGCAAGCACACACCTTGCTGTCAATCTCACTGCTTCCCAGAGAAGTCTGGATGACGTAGAGCAGGGCATCCGTCAGACCGTCACACTCCCGCATCCTCCGTCTCGCCTCCTCACCCGCGGAGCTGACGTTCCTGGAAGAATCACAAGCCGATCAAGTGGTCAGAGTGCCTTTTGCCAAACGCAAGTCCATAATGCCGCTAAACAGGGAGCTTGTGAGGGGGGCAGGCTCACACGAGGGACGGTGAGGTCAACAGCTCGGGAGGGAAGCTTGGAACTTTCCCCCAAGCTATAGAATTTGCTATCTTGAAATGCTAATAATAAAATGCAATAATAACCCACCCACAAAATAATAAACGCCCCCAAAAAAGTGTGTGTGTGTGTGTGTGTATTGAAAACGAATCGCGGGTCCATTCAGAATGCGGGCAGCCATTTAGTGCATAGCGATTGCTCTTTCCCTCTTTTCTCTCTGTCTTCATTACATCATCATCTGTGCTCACCGCTTAATTACCGCGATAATGAAATTCCACCATGATGGGTTTGCGGAGAGCGGAAACCCAATAAGGGAAACATCAAAAGAACTATGAAACTAATTAGTCAATTGCTCCAAGAGTTTGGCGTTATAGGTGAACAGATATGACAGACACCAGAAATGTATTGATGGCATGCAGCGGAGTCCATTCATCATGCTGGCATTCGAGAGAGATCACAGCTCTTTGACTAGTCGATGAAATGAGGGCAATCCTTTATTGTTGGGACGAGAATGAGGTGAGAGAAAGACACAAGAACTCAATTAAAACTCGACGTCTAATGCTTGTGGCTTTCCAAGAGAAGGTCAAGCCGTTTTCACCGGCTCTGAATGCTAATGGGCAAACAAGCTCACTTTGCATAACTGGCTTCAAAGTGACAATTCTTTGCAGCGAAAGACTGACAACGTCTCATTCAGAGGAATAAAGACGCTTGCTTTACTTTTGAAATGTTGAAAGGCCCCATTGGAACATTTGCTTTGCTAGCTCGTCCGGTATTGTTCCATAGCCAAGTCATTTCATCAGAGTCTGAAAGATGGTTGTTTGTTTGGAGTTTTTTTGCCTGCTTTCTTGATTTCAGCTACACAAGAATTTTGCATGCAGTCTCATTGAATGAAATGAATAAAAGCACTTGTATTTCGTCACATTACGGCAGCGGTTACGCGATTGTCGCAACAAAGCAATTTTAATTCACTGGAAAATATTGACTTTCACGACACCTCACATTGTTTGAGGCAAAATATGCCCCATTTTTACTACCGCTATGAAACAAAGTCCTAATTTCACATCGACGCTCTGACAAACAGGGTGAAAAGAGACTCTTTTTTTTTTTTTCTTTCCTCCCTGGTAAAACATCTTCTCTGGCTTGGCAAACGAGACACCTTGTGATGTGCTCGAGGATGAGGAGGCGCAAAGATGGTGAGATGTCACCGTAACCGCTCGGCTCATCGTTCGTTTCAAGGGATGGACGCTCCATTTGGAATGCGCCACCCAAAGCAGCAGGTCATGGGAGGACGGTGTGCCGAATTCAGACGGATAATTCGAAGCGGAATGCGCCAGTGAGAGAGGAAATGAGAACACCAATATGCCACCCGTCAGTGACGCGTGTGTGTGTGCGTGTGTGGTGTTCGTGTGCCCGTGATAAAGTAGCAGCGAATTTCTTGGACTTTAACTGGTAATCTCCACTCTTTAAGTATTCCATTATTGACTTGCACCTCGTCCCCCTATCTGATGTCACTCCTCATTAATTCCGTCGAACTCGTTAGCTTGCATCATTAAATAATTGCCCAGTGAGAAGAACGACAGAACATGATGAAGCATCCCATTCACAATTCAAACAGCCGTTATTTTGGCTCTGTCACGCTGATGAATCGCACGCCGCTCGTTGGACGATGCATCATGTCGTTTTTCCAAAATATGTCAGTCTGAGCACACCTGCCATGTCAGAGACAACCTTTGATCAATGCATTCGGGGGAAAGTAGGGCATCGCCGAGTCAAGTGCCGAAAAAGATGGGACATTATTTGGGGAAGAATAAAGGGATTGAGGTGAAATCGGAGCGTTTGGGGTCGCCTTGACTAACGTGCAGTGTCCTCAACTCAACATTTGAACATGGGTGGCTTTGTTTCAAACGGGGAGGGCTTTTCACCAACGACTGCAAACGCGGGATTCCATTCGACGGCGGTTCTTGGTTTGAATTCAAGGACCAGTTAAGAACTATCCCATCGTTGAAGTGCTTTTAAAGGTGGATTTGAGAGTTACTTCACTTACCACCGTGGCAATGGAAAAGAATCAAACACTCCAATTGTGTGTCTCAAGAGGCGTGAGCCGCTAAATGTGCTTTGAGGACAACCCAACGAGGGTCGGAATTCACTGTCCTCCAGTCGGCGGACAAATCTCTCGGAGGACAAATCGAGTACTTATTTTCTCTGGAAATGATCATTTCGTTTCAATGACCTTTTCCAGCATGATTCCTCATGCGGGCATCCCAACGTGTACGGGAAACACATGGACACAAGTGAAGGGTTGGCAGATGGCTTTCTAATGTCGCTCAAAGAGCAAATGACCACCGAGTGACATCAGAGCAGCTGGCGTGAGGTGGCTCGACGCACTCGTCCAACGGGAGTGGGTGTGTGCGTGTGCTGTGTGTGTGTGTGTGTGTGTGTGTGTGTGTGTGTGTGTGTGTGTGTGTGTGTGTGTGTGTGTACAGTAGAGGCTCATCACCAGTTGTCTCTCTCACGCACGCACGCATGCACGCACGTGCGCACACACACACACACACACACACACACACACACACACACACACACACACACACACACAATCTAAATCCCCCAAAAATCATACCAATAAAATGACAAGTTTGCTGCAATGACACCCAGTCTCGAATCATCCGGCCACGAATTCTACGCTTGCGTGCGAGTGGGTGTCGTCGTGGGAGCAAACAGGAGACGGTGAAGAGTGTGCGTCTGTGTTGGTGTGCGTGTGTCCCGATTACCTCGGGAACAGAACCGCAGACAGAATAAATGTATACAGTGGAGAAAGCCAAGTTTTTTTTTTTCCTCCGTCTCTGCGCCTTGGCTGTGAACCAGCACCCTGCGGGAAGCTAAACAGAATTCAATTGAGGCTATTGAAAGGCATTCACGGGTAAGCCTTTGTCCAAGCGTAGGGAAGCGTGCGCGTGTACGTGCATATGTGAATTTGGGTGCCGATTGATGACATTGATTACCTCTGGGCTGATTAGGTGCCGCACACACGTAAACCAAATTCAAATGGGGGGTTTTGTTGCTTTGTTCTTTTTTTTAAGCAAATATTACGTTTTACATTTTATACATCCCAAATCAAATGGCTCCACATTGTGAAATGTTCCCTTAAAAGCTAGATTCAGCAGCTTCCTCGATGCTGTCACTTCTTGATGTCAAGCTTCAACAAGCTGGAAGCATTTTTTTGTTGTTGTTTTTTTGATCAGCCTCATGCACCAAAAAGAAAGTCCTCAAGTGACAACAACTTGACTAAGTATGAAAGTTGTTGCTATGGTTACCATTTGGAGCCAAGAATCAAAGGCGTATGAGTTTAAACTGTGCATAAGAAAATAGTTAGCATTCATGAATATATGCATGGTGCACAATAAAATGCCTGCAACAATGAAATGAATATACACATTGTGCAATGCACGTGATGTGAATTTGAATTTCACAAATTCATAAAATCCCCTACATTTTTCCAACATTTAAAAAAAACATGGGCAGAATGGCAGTAAAGAGAGAAAGTACTGCAGGGAGCTAGCATGCTTTACCTTTCAAAAATCTCCCTATTGAATGTAGCGCTTGTTTTGGTTCGTTTTCAGGAATATGCACAAAGTACTGCAAGCCAAATGGACCGCTGCGTTGCATAGGCTAGAACTCAACTGTCGAAGCTTTTCCGTCATCAATTTCAGAATTTTTGCATCGAGACCATTTTTTGTGTTCAGAATAAAGTTACTGTAGAATCTCCACTTGGTTCGCCAGCAAACACGGGGAAACACACATCACCCTGGGCTGGTCGGCAGCATTCTAATTTTGTCGCAAATGCTTCGAAAGGTGCCGACTACACAGGGCAGCCTTGCTTCAACCAACAGGCTAAAAACAAAACAAAACAATCCACACGTATAATTAATCAACTCATTGATTTTTAGTCTTTTTATCTTCCCTAAAAGAAAGACTCTGCGCACCTCGATCCACTTGTAACAATTAGCATGTCTCCACGAGAGTTTCCCGCAGTGTGCACGGTGCTTTTACCTGAGGCAACCGGTCGCATTGCGCAGCACCTGGGAAGTATGAAGCTGGAGCTTGCGGTCGTCATGGTGATTGGGGGAGGAGTCCCAGTTGGAGTGGGGGATGATGACGCTGTTGGTCAGCACAGCCAGCGCATCCTGGATGATTGGCATCTTGAGAGCGTCACATGACGACAGGTTCCACAGGACGCCTGGGAATAAAATGAATGAATTTGTGAGCATGATTCCATTCCGCCGAATTGGTTGATTTTTATCTGGAAAGATTTGCTTTGCAAAAATTCCTTGTGGTTCCTGGGGAAACGCAGTCTCTCCCGCTGACTTCCTCAGCTCTCTGTCTGCTAGCATGACATTTAGAGGCGCATATTTGATGGAATTTTAAGCAGACGGTGACGTGAACCTCTCCGAGGTGTCCAGGGCAAAACATTTGGTTGTATTTTGTAAGGTTAAAAGTTGGATCTTGTTGCTCACACTGATGTGACAAACAAAGACAGCCTGAAAATTTGAACACTGCCTGTGACTGAGGAGAGGCCACAAGAGACCGGAGAAGGATTTTACTGCTGGCATTTCGGGAAAAAACATATTTCGCTTTCTCCTCTTCATACCCGAGGAGCAGTCCTTAAAACGGACTCAATATTTGTGATGAAGTGACAAGTAATTTTGTGCCTTGGCTACATTGCACGCAAGCTGCTATCAACAGTCCGTGCATGCTCACACATTGTCTACCTGCTGAGACGACAACAAGCAATGAACACGAGACATTTCTCTTTGTGGAACGGCATACGAATGAGTCCGATCAGCATTTGCAGAGTTGAAAATATTAACAAGCGCATGTACTGCTGACAAAGTTGGTGACAATAAACTAATATGGGGGAGGACAGTCAGACAAGCTGAGTAATAATTTAGTCAGGCAGGAACAGACTGAGACAAAAGATGACACATGCTTTGTCGTATTGCCATGGTGAGCTTTGTCCTTTTACAAAAAAAAAAAGGAAAAGAAGCTAGAAATTAAAGTCACCATGTCTCATGCTTCTGGAGTCATAGAATTCACACATCATGACACCGACACATCAACTATTTATCAACGTGTGTGAATAAAGAAAAAAAGAAATGATTTTAAAAAGGGTAATGCCTAGATTTGTGTCAGTACGATAGTACAGTAAACATGCTTTATGAAATTAAACAACATTCCTGGCGAAAAATGATCTTTTGATTGCTCCCTACATTGGAAGAAATGATGTGTCGAATTTACTCCATTTTATTTCGTCAAGTTGTTGCACGAACGAAAATCATCTGGACCCAAATACATTTTTGAACACGTTTACTTTAAAAATGCATCCAAACCCAGATGATTGCTTTGTTTTTGTGTGGGACCGTTTTATATTGGTAAAAGAGATAAAAAGTCAAAGCACACATTCATCTGTGCAAAAGCAAAATGTGTGAAAGTAGGCCAGAGAGAAACAAAGAGGATAATTGCTTGCGTGCGCCTTTTTGACGGTCTGGGAAACAAGGACAAAGAGGGTGATAAGGTGATGACCAGTGCTGCTACTTGGCACCAATCAGGGGCTTGGACCTTTCTGTGCATGCGTTTCCATGGCAACATTTGCCATCACTGAGTGCTCACCAACCTCTTTTTTGCACTCCTCAAGCCTCTCTCTCTTTCGTCACCAATGCTCTCATATCACAAGGACTTGCGCAAGCAATTCAACCCCCCGCCCCAAAAACAAAACAAAACAAAAAAAAACATCAGCACATTAAAAATGTGTTTTCGCAGGCCTTTGCTGCTTTCTTTTTTTTTTTTTTTTAAATCATGCAAACCCATTTAATCTCAATGGTCAAATACAATTGCTCAGCACTGTACATGCCTGTCTTGGACTGCATTGTTTATGGATTTGTTCTTCTTTTTTTGGTGGGGTTTTTTTTTGGGGGGGGGTTGTATTGTTTTACAAGTATTGATTTTTTTTTCCCATTTTCAGACATGTTTAAAGTTTACTAGCAACGATAATGCCACCTGTTGCTTTGGCATGCACATGACAGCCAGAGAAAAAAAAGTGCTTTTTTTTTTTGTTTTGTTTGTTTGTTTTTTTTAAACCATGAAACTTTGAAAACACAAACACAGAGCCTTAAAGCTCTGTGTTTGTGGACAACACAGGTCAACCATCTGGAGGAACTCAAGCCTGTGTTTCTTAAGAGGCTACGAATGTTGGCTCATGATTGCAATCAGCTTGCAGCCATAGATTGTGTTCTTCGTAAAGTGCCCGCAGACAGAAACTAGAGTAAAGGCTGCAGCGTTTTCTGGGACAAGGACATTGCGTCTGCCACTGTGTCATGTTGGCCAAATTCAGGTCTGACACACACTATCGCACACACATCTGCCTGCTCAAGAAACATGGATCTGTCACGCTTCACTAAACCTACAGGGCCCTTTGGAGTATTGCAGTCAGGTGACCAACAGACAATGACATCATTTGAGAGCTTTTTCTGTGTGCCAGCCAGAAAATGTGCGTGTACGCTTGTGCGTGTGTGTGTGTGTGTGTGTGTGTGTGTGTGTGTGTGTGCGTGTGTGTTCTCCTTTATCTCATCCACTCTAATCCGTGTCTCTCTCTCTCTCTCTCTCTCTCTCTCTCTCTCTCTCTCTCTCTCTCTCTCTCTGGGCTCCAACTGGGTCCCTCCAGACACATGACAGACAGTTTCCAAGGAGCCTGGTGGTGTGGGGGGGAAATGTGGGGATGATTGCATGAATTCATGAATAAATGAGAGTATGACTTGTCAGGGGGGAGCCAAGCCTGTTAGGAGTCAAGTGGAAATGTTTTATGAAACAGCCCTCAACTACACAGCTTGGTGCGAATGAGTTAACAGCAGAGTCATAGACGAGAAACTATCCGGCACAGGTGGCAAAATATCCAAAACGAGAAATCAAAAATAGACGCCTTGACTTCCTGATTTTATATTGGCCAGATTTTACATTGGCCGGTTTTTACATGGCGCCCCCCCCCACCCCATTTCTATTTAAAAAAAAAAAAAAAATTCTAAAGTTCATTGTCTGTACTTTTGAAATGGTTTACTGATTGCAAAACGTCCGACTCTGCAACATATTGTTCCAAATCATTCATTATGAAATTGGTCGGCCAGCATCAGAGAACAAATTGGGTCCAGCATTGGATGTTTAGTCGTGAAAGACAATGGAAGTTGATCCATCTTCACGACTAACATGTTAACAAAGAAAAGATGGAGAAAAACTGCCGAATGTCACCTGTGCCCCTCTCAGCTAGGCAGAGCATTCCATGAGCCGCAGCCCAGCCTGATGTCACAGTCCGGCACCTCAAGGTGAGCCCACAAGCACGGATAGCATCTCCTCTCCTATTGACACTCGGAGCCTCAGTATCGACCGGACTTTGATTGGCAGGCCCGGAAGCCTCAACTTCCTCCTATCTGACTCGCACGGAGGGCCAGGAAGCCAATAAAGCTCGTCTAAATGTAAACTTCAGAAAGGACAAAGCAATACAGTAAAAGGTTTCCTGTCTCATTTCCGAGACTACAAAGCACCTTTCATCAAGTAGGACACAATTCGATAAGACTGTCAAGACGTGGATGGTAAGGAGAAATCTCATTGCTTCGTACTCAAGCATAACTACATCTGGCTACGGAAAAATAAGGAGTCGCGCCGTTTGAGTGGCCGTTTGAGTGGCCGCCGTTGGCCCTGATGCATTCCCGATGGACTGATTAACTTTGAACACTGATTAGTAATGAAGGTCAACATTTGTACGGGGAAATCAGTTGTAAAACTGAATTTTTTTTTTTTTTTGCTTTGATTTCAGTGTTGACTTTGTTTTTCTCTTATAGTTAAGGCCTGGACTAACAAAAGTTAACGGCGATTGGTTTTGAAGTCCTTTCAATCATATTTAAGACCGTGAGAGAGAGAGAGAGAGAGAGAGAGAGAGAGAGAGAGAGAGAGAGAGAGAGAGAGAGAGAGAGAGAGAGAGAGAGAGAGAGAGAGCGAGCCCGCCCACGGAAAATACTGCCCAGTGCAACTACCAATGCTGTTTACAGACTGTGGACATATGCACTGTAGATATTGTACATGTAGCATGCAGCATGAGAGAGAGAGAGAGAGAGAGAGAGAGAGAGAGAGAGAGAGAGAGAGAGCGTCGTCACACTGTAGTTTGTTGCATTAACTTGTCCCAAGGCTGCGGAGCCATTGTCATGCTGACAAACAATTGCAGCAACATACGGATATGACACTGATCGTTGAATGTGAATTATATAAGTGAGACAGCAGGGTGCCACGCTTCAGTGCGTAGAACATCGAATAAGATGATGAAATGTGAGTGGGACGCAGTTTGCAAAGTAATCATTTTGCATTGAGCATTTTACTCATTTTAGGTTGGGCTACAGAACAGGACAGACAAATAAAAAAATGAGGAAACTTGAATTTGAATACAACTCAAGCACTAGCCAAGTAACAAGACGAAAACGCAGGGGAAAAAAAAAAAGTTGTGAGAGTCAGGATGTTTCGAGACAATATCGGCCGCCTTTCATGAAACGTCCTTATTCGAGTTTTGCCGCAGTGCTCCTTCACATTTGAAAAGAAATTCTTGAAAATCAATCAAGTGGAATGTTCAACAGCCTTGGTTTGAATGAGTAGTTGCAGTTGATTAAAGAGAGACTGAAAAAGTTATGAATGACGTCAATGGCGCCGCTAAAATACTGCCAGTGTTGATGTCAAGGACACAAAACACGCTGCAACTGTTTGAGAGCGCGTCGAGCGGTTATGTTCGACATCGCCAGTTAAATCCAAAGGAGGCAACATTTACGCAGGCATACTTTGCATCTATGCCCCAGATTTCTGTGCGTGCGTGCGTGCGTGCGTGCACGGTCTATTCAGAGCTTACACCTCCACATATCAGACGTGTTTCACTTTTTCCAAACCGTTTCGTGTCATGCAAACACATTTTTGTTAACCACGTTAACAGGTCTTCTATGGCTACCGAGTAACGGCGGCGGCAAGATAAGTGCGTTGCAAAAGACATCGTACCTGTGACCAACTCTCTGATTTCAACGTCTCCTGTTTTCCTCAAAAGGCGGACGAGCGCTGGGATCCCTCCGCAGTTCTTCAGGGCCACTTTATTCTCGTCATTGGCCTTGCCATAAACCAGGTTCCTCAGAGCTCCGCAGGCACTGCGGTGAACCTCGCTCATCCTGTGGTCCAGCAGGTCGACCAGCAGCTGGATGCCGCCTTGTCTGCGGATCTAACAACACACGGACAGAAAAGTGATCACTGCGTCGGTTTCGCGGTCAAACTGTTGTCAAGGCGTTGTCCAGACAATAACAAACAGTTTTAGTTTTTTTTTAGTCACCATAAAATTTTGTGTTGGGATGATGTCATGTTGTTTTGAGACTCCAGTCTGGTTGATACTGATGCAAAAGCCCCGGTAAGCGCACCTGCGACCCCAAAATGAGGATGAGCAGTATAGAAAAGGGCCAAACGCGTCATACCTTCGAGCGATCCAACAGACCACCAACGATATGGAAAACCTGATGGAAAACGCTTCCCTCTCCACCTTGGACATCAACTATCTACCTGAAGTGCTTTGGTTTATAGAATGACAGAGACGGAGAAGTGACTTTGGCCAGGGCTTTCGGGAGAAAACAACAACTTCTAACATTGCATTGATTACATTGAAGTGAAAAGATATTCAAAAGGGACGGAGGTAAAGAAGAAAGAGGAATGCACAAGCGTGCGTTGAAGGGCAAGGAGAGGACGGGGGTGTTTGATGACACAGCAGGAGTCTATTGAGTAAAATGACTTTGCTTATCTATTCAATTAAAAGGGATTAAGGGTTGCCGTGAATGGCAAACTAACCTTGCTCTATTGACTACAGTGTTTCCTTGCTGTCCCCGCTCACGCCCGACAATCTTTAGCTCCGTTCCTTTCCCTCCCTTTGTGCAAATCCGTCTCCCTCGTATGGCTTGTTTCATCTCATATTCTATGAAAAAGGCATCATGACATTGCTTCGCTTAGAGATACCCACGCGGCGGTCCGTTACCCCCCCCCCCTTATGCCATGCAAAGAAGATGAGAAGCGGGGATTGATTGGTCTTTGTTATGCAGCAGCCACAACTATCGGTAACCCATAGCGACAGCATTACTGTGGTAACAGTTAGCGGCGGCGACAGGCGAGATCGCGGGACTCGGGGGTGCTGCAGGCGTTCAAAGGAAAATAAATAAATGAAAAAAAAAAAATCCCAGCAAGATACGCGGGATACACGGGTGACACTTGTTCGCCGTGATGGTTAACGTGAAGCCAAACAAGAGTGTTAGTGGGCATGAGTCACCACATATGGAATGTCAGGACACATCAGCGGCACACTTACTCTTTAGTGGCTTGATTGCGAGTGAAGACATGTCACACACCTTCAAAGCCATCACACTTGCAGGCAAGCAGACCCTCATGCAAGTTTACTTTGGGCGGGTGGGGGGGGGGGGGGTGTCTCCCAGTTTGCCTCGATTTTAGAACCTTTCAACCTTTGCCTAATTGAGTTTGTGGCCTCAAGCAGTGATTTCCCAATGGGGACCTTCCAAAGTAGGCCACCATTTACCATCTAATATTTGCACGGAGGCAGAGAGCACAATGAAGGCTTCACAGCAAGTGAAAATCGACGGTGACAAATTGCTCATTTTGTCAAATACCAAAACAGCAGCACCGATCCTCACAGATCTGGCCACTCATCCACCCCCGCCCGCCCTCCATCCAGTACAACTGCTGGTTAGGAGCGTCCTTTTTTTTTTTTTCCAAGAATCTTTGTCCGCTCCAGATAACAGACAACAATATTCTTTTATGTCTCTCAGTTTTTCACGCTCATTCTCTTTCTCCGTCGTTTTGGAGGATTTCATTTCAGTCACAAATCACATTGTGTCTCCAATTAGCCGTTGCCTGCGTCGTGGCATGCCATCTTTAGATCGGTGCTGTCAAAAATAAGCAACATGATCTACGCTTGTAATGACTGCAAAGTGAGACCATAAAACAGACGCCAGCAGGCTGTTTCAATCTTCAACGCCAACCTGACAACCCCGACAATTTTAGGAGCCCAGAATTCCAAATGCTATTCCGTAATTTCGTGGCACCGAAACAAAGGTTGTCCAGGTGTCATTCTGTTTTTCCCATCACAAAGAGATCCCGGATGAGCAGGTTTGACGCTCGGTTTTAATAGACGCTGTCATCGATAAATTCACCGTGTCTGTTGTTGCGGTTGAAGTTTGCAGTTGGGAAACGATTAGCGTGCCTGACCGACATAACCTCCATTCCTTCGTTATGTGTAGGTATTCTTTAGTTGATATATCCAACAACGTTTGGATTGTGCTGATCCACCAGCCTTCAAACGCACAACACAGACAGGTGACAAGTCGTCGTCATTTCTGATGGGCCAAACTTCATCATCATATCTCAATTTAAATGTAAACCAATTCACGGGTGAGTGCGCGGGGTCAGAAATGCAAAACGGATCTGCTCCTGACGAACTGAAAATTTGACGGCCGTTTGAATTCGTGTGGAAAATTCGACCTTTCATCTCGTCATCATAAAGCTGAACTTCCCTTTTGCGAACAAGATCCGATGTTGTTTCGCTATTAATGTCACAAGTGAAACGTTTCATGCGTGACTATGCAAGTGTACCTAATGTTTTGGCCGATGGCTGTTTTATTGGTTAATTTGTCATCTTGGTCGTCGTAAAGACAGGGGGCCACATAAAGCATAGCAGCCTAAGGACCAGATAAGGAAAAAATAAAGAGTATTACTGTATCATCACAGAGATATGTCATGAAAATTCCCACTTCTCTCTACTTGAAGGAGGTCCAGCACCAAAAACAAAAAAAAAGGTCACCCAGTGAGGTTAAGCTATTAATAATAATCCAGTTGGTCTGTAATGGTGTTATTTTGAATTTATGAAACACAAGCAGCTGGCAGCGGGAGGAATTAAAGTCTCATTTTCTTTTTTTCTTTTTTTTGTTTCAGTGCGTAATAGAAGTGCTTTTCTTAACTACCTCTTTCCTGCCTGTGATTTTTTTTTTCCTCCCTCTGGAACAAAAGAAAGGCAGCTACTATTCTTCAAGAGAGCCTTGAAGAGCTTCCTAAACACACAAACAAGTGCACTAAAACAAAACATGAAATTTTAATAAGCAAGGTATTTATGACACAAGTCGGTCCTGTAACATAATTCAACAGAGTAATGTTCAGTTGGCTGACAATGGAGACGTATCGTAAATAACAGTGGGGATACTGTTGCTGCAGTCGCACGTTAATTGTGTTGACAAGCTTTCAAGAATTCCCCAATGTCATCAAATGAGCGCGATCCACAGAAGCTCCGAACTTCGTGATGCTTATAAGAACACAATCTAATGAATAAATATGTGAAGATTTCATTCCGGGGGATTCGTGTTGCTAGTGACATGCTCCACAATGTGCACGTTTAAAAAAAAAAAAAAAAAAAAAGGGCAGGCTGGTTCTTGGCTGATGAATGATGAAGTGCTCTTGCCGCACTTTGGACCTTGAATGAAACACTCAAAGTGGTGAAAGAAACTCCCTGCACTTGAATGGGGAGGTTTTTTATTTGCCTCACCGTTGAATGTCTCCGCCGAGAAACGTTAATTGCATCCATTATAAAAGACATTCGAGTGAAAGTTTTTTTGGTTTGCCGAGTGGCGATGCGTTTGTGTGCAACTCTTGACTGCATTTTCCGATTTTACCGGCGCGGGCGGGTGGATAAGTCGCCTTGTGAGAATTACAGGTATCGTCTTGAAGCTTAACTGTCTACGTGAGCTGCTAGTTAGCAGGTTCATCATGCACGCGTGTGGGAATGGCTTCTATCACAAGGCGTACTTTTTTCAGAAAGAAATTTTCAACTAGATCAACGTTGCCACTGCAAGCGGAATGTGAGAATATGACTGATAATGGCCTTAATTCATTTGGATTCATCTCTTATTTTGTTCCTATTAATGATTCATGTACCTATGCTCATGATTAACACATTTTTGATTGGATTTATTCTCTATATTGCACTAAGGTAGATGTCTACTACATTCAAAATGAATCAGCACCATCATCATCATCATCATCATGGCTTAGCGGTAGAATTTTGACACAGTTCTTCTAATGAGTCTCAACAGATTGTGCACTTCATTCAGTCACGTGTGATTGTGTACGCCGACACTTTGTTTTTAGAGAGCCGCTCAAGTCTTCGATTAAGTATCCCATTGAGGGCTTCCATCCGGAATTGTGTTTGCGAAATGAGTGAGGACTGAGTAAATTCAATAGCAATGGTAAGATTAAACAAATCAATAGAAAGGAGAACTCGAAGGAAGGTTACGGGGTAAGCTTTATAATTCCGAACAGGTTCATTTATGTGCCCATTACTTGAAATGGGACACGGGGAAATGCAAAACTACGCAGAGGAACTTAATCCCCTCATTTGCGAGGAAGCGCTTTATCGGCTATGCCGACACTAACCTCAGCTTTGATCTTGTTGTCTCCAAAGCAGAGGTGTTGAAGGTATGCGGCAGCATTGGACTGCACAGATGGGAACTGATGTTGCAGCATCTGGATCACCTCTGGCAGCTCGGGATCCCTCCAGCCAAACTCCCTGCGCGGACAGGACAGATGGAGACATTTTGACTCCTTGGGAGACCAAACAAACGTCTTGCTGCTATTACCTTGGGGAAGACAAATAAAATCCCACACTCTCTTGCCATCACACCAAACGCAACCGAATTTACTTTGCTAAATCGAGTCAGACTGGATGAAACTAGTGCACTCACCAATGAGTCTCACGGCTTAGAAACGATGCCGACTGCGCACGCATATTCAAAACGTGATCATTTTCACACATCGCAGGCAACTGAGATGACATCAAAACAATTTTGGGAATACAAATGGTAAAAACACAATTCTTGCTCCATTTGGCCAGATCGCATCCATCCATTATCTGACACGCACTTACGTGCACTGCCGCCTGATGAAGATTGTTGGCAAATTGGCCTGGTGTGACAAGAGAGAGACTGAGATCGTGTCCGGGACTGTGAAACTCGCTGTGTTCGGCATTGTTTTGATGGCGGAGGTGTTTGCGGTTAATTCAAGTTTTTCAAAAATCCATCGGCGTGACCTCTTTGTTATAATGTGCAGACGTGCAGCTATTAATATGGGCCGTCTTTCATCAATTTCCACCCCTGTGAGCAAGAGTAAATGAAGTAAAACAACACCCAGGAAAGGGGCTCCCTCATCGTAGCGTCCCCTGCTGACAATTCCTCTGGAATGGTCCCCCGAATGAGAAAATGAGGAGTGTTTGAGAAAGTGTGGGTGAGTATATCTCCACAACCACCCATGTTATTTTCTTTAATAACCACCCTTTAAGTAACTGGCTTTCAGGAAACTCCCGACTCCCGCCGCGATCCCACAAAACGCCTTTGTTGAAATTTTGCAACCTGCATCGATTTTGCTCGATGGGGATTGATTTTGCTGTTACCGCCTTCACGCTGGCCCTCGTGTGCCAAAATAGCCTCTGCTATAATCCCCACCTGGTTTATTTTCCTCCGTTGCCCGTACATGAAAATAGGGTAAATACAAAGAAATTGAGCTGCCCGAGCAGCCGGAAATGGCCCCGGCCACCATGCTGCGGTCTCTGCTGGATCAAGAGCATGCGGTGTGAGAAGCATCGTTGCAAAGCACGGCGCTCACGAGGAGTAAACATGGCTCTCCAAGATAAAGTGAGCTCTTGCCCGGACGGGTCTTTATCTGCCAAATGATAAGTGTTCATTCAGCTGGAAAGCATGGCTGATGGAGGGAGGTGGAGGAGCGATAGGAAGACCGCGCTCGAGGAGGCGGAGGAGGAGGAGGAGAGGGGGGTGGGGGGGGGCATTCCCAGGGCATTTAGGAGGAGGTACCCTCAAACAACACTAAATCACATGGGCAGATAACATCAGGGGACTTTGTTTATGTGTCTGTACAAGTGGCAAGATTTGATTAAGGCTGGAGACGTGGACGCACGTGGCTTGACTTGTTTCTTTCCAAAGTGTGTGTGTGTGTGTCTGTCCCTATAAGTGTATATTTATTTCTCTCTTTAGCTTTGTTTAAACCTGTAAACCTGGCTGTGTGTGTATGTGTGTGTGTGTGTGTGTGTGGTGTGTGTGTGTGTGTGTGTGTGTGTGTGTGTGTGTGTGTGTGTGTGTGTGTGTGTGTGTGTGTGTGTGTGTGTGTGTGTGTGTGAGACCCATCCCTTCCAACCTCACAGCTCTGTCAGTGTACGTAATAGAAAGCAGTGAGATCTGCTAAGATAAGATAAGCATCGTGGCTCCCCATTAATTAAAAAGCCCTGGTAGGGAGAGCAAGACACACACGGAGAGGAAAGCAGAGCAAAGAGCTGAGGGAGGATGGACATTGAGGGGAAAACCCTACAGAGGAGTACTGGAGAGGGGAAGATAAAAATACATTTCTTTTCAAAAGAAGGAAAGGATAAAGAGGTAAACAGCCCTCAGACACCGGTCAACACTGGCGCTAATGAGCGGGACAAACCTGTTAAACATACTGCTGGGCGACGAGCCAGTGACGTGAAACAGCGGGATGCAAACACAGAAACGCAAAAGGGTTGTGCCAGGCACAAGTTCACACAAAATATGTATTATTAAGCTTGTTCTTGCCAGAATTCTACGAGCTTTGGTGCCTCTAAATATGGTAGATATATTTTTAAATGGCCTGTAAAGCTTTATTATTTGACACATGCTTTTTTTTTTTTTTTGTCAGGCGGCACCGTGCAGGGTGTGGTTAGCACGTCTGCCCCCAAGTCATTACGCTCCGATTCGAAACTCGGCTTGGGTTTTTCGTGTAAAAATTGCATGTCCCTCAGTGTTTTTGTGGGGTTTTCATATTCCATTGCCAGTAAATATGCATCCCTGTAATTTATTACGTCCTTCTTGCCCTCGCGGTTACATTCGCATCCATTTTTCGAGCCCACAACACATTTGAAAAGACAGCGCCCGACAGGAAGTGTGTCTCGCCGGCCTTAATCTGATTGGACAAGGCCTGTCATTTATGTTAACTGATTGGCAAACAGGGCAGCACCGTGCATACCAAAGCAGATGCTAATTAGGACCTGAACATCCATTTTGAGGGCACTGAAATGGACAGAGGAATAAAGATAGCCAGATTGGGGTGTTAAGAGATTAAAAAATATTGGAAGGAGGAAAGTGAGAGAAAGTGCCGCACACAGTTTAGGTAATTTATAGCCTTAGGTGATGAAGTGTCTGCATGTTACTCTGGAGAAGCTAAATACCAGTTTGACTATGACAAATAATTTTTTTTTTAATACTCTAGTAAACTATTCTGGCCATCAAACATCAACTTACGGTACTCTAATCAGACTCCATATATGAATTTCTCATTTGCACCAAAATCAGGGTGGTTGAAGCTGAGTGGGGTGTGTCTGACGTTGCGGCGTGAAATCAAAAAAAATAATAATAATAACTTGGGGATTGTGTGCCTTATAACCGCCAGGAAATGTACAATTTGTATATTTCTTGAGTGTGTGTGTGTGTGTGTGTGTGTGTGTGTGTGTGTGTGTGTGTGTGTGTGTTTGTGTGTGTGTGTCTTGACTTGGCATGAGCTGATCTAATGCAATGCTTAAGCGAGTTTCAAGAGAGAGAAAATTGACTCGCAATTCATATCGGCAGACAGAACCACAACTTGCTTTCTAGTGTCAGCATCGTGTTTGGATGAGGCTATATCGACAAGCCTTCAGCGGAAAAAAAAATAGTGATATAAAATATTGATTCTTTGGGCTTTTATCTCGTGTATTATCGTTTGACTTAAGGGCTATCAAATAGAGCCAATCTCCGAAAGGGCTGACAAAAGATCATAATATTTTCTAAGGATACAGTTTCAGACTTTCAAAAGGTCCTGTCGCCTTTTTCTACCACGCTTGTGCTCGTGCAAGCTGCAGGCCAGTGCCCAGGCAAGCACCAGTTCTTTCGTTTTCCACCACGGAAAGTGGCTCTAGTTCTCGTTCTGGTGCTTGAAACTGGCCCCAATTATTTGTTGGGCAAGACTCTGGCACCAACGACGTTGGGGGGGCCGGAGGGCGGGGTTATCATGACGATCGCAGATTTCGAGGAATGACTCCCTGGGGACACGGAAGTTTTGAGCGCTGGACTCCGGCACAATCGTGTCCCACCAGAAGAGCGATGGCAGATGTGCCCAGATAGCATACGATCTCCGACTCGCGGCCAGCCCGGTAATCATCTACGACCTTTAAGAAAGATAGACGCGTTTGCTGATTGGATGACTCCTAGATACTACATACAAGTATTATCGATGCTAAGCTAAGTTGCCTAGCAGAACAATTACTGAAAGGATACAAATGAATAAAATACTTTTTAGCATTTTCAAACACGACTAATAATTTTATAGATATGAACACCTTCAAGCAGTATAAAATCTCACTGAATACTGCACGATTGACAGCCCAACAACTGATACTGGGAAAAGCATCTGTTGCTCTATGCTGGCCCAAATGTCCCTGACACTTCCAACTTCTATCTTTGTTTTTCTGTGACTTGGATGGCTGACATGCTGTGCACCAATCCTATGTGATACAGAGTCGGAACCCTTTAGATACCGCTCCTCCTATCTCCAAAACCTAAACTGCCATCCCTTCACATTTGAACGCATAGCCAGTATAAGAAAACTGCTCTTGGGGTAGAAATAGAAGGAAAATGGTGAGAAAGAGAGAAGAAAAGAATGAGATCAAGGAATGTGATGAAGAGAGGAGAAGTACATATTACTTCTTTTATCATCCTCATCACATCAGGACTAGTATGCCAGATGCGACTTTCGCTTTCATTCTATCCATACAATTGTCTGCACACAGCAGCAGCCCACCCGACCCCCCAGATAAAACCCCACAGTGCCCATCTTAGTCTGCCCCGCCCCCACCTCCCAGATAAAACCCCACAGTGCCCATCTTAGTCTGCTCCTTGTTCTATATTAGATGGGTTGGGAAAAAAGACCAAGACAGGGAAGAAAAAAAATTAATAGACTTTCTCCAGGCTCTTCCAGTCTGGCGTGGATGGCTAGGGAGTGTGAATGAAAGTTAATCAAAGAGTCTGAGTGACAAGAATTTGAGGTGTGCGGAATGAAACTGGCTTACACATCATGATGCTATGGATGCTGTGGGGAAAAAAAAAGTGAAACATGAAATGTATGACAGCAAACATACCCGTGAAAGAAAATGCACACATCAATTCATCTCTAAATTATGAATAGTTCCAAATACCAATCAGTGTTCGAATAAAACATTCAGGCTTGAAGATGATCACACAAAATTTGAGTCCTAATCGACTTTTTGTTTTTTTGGTCATGAACTCACATGTACATACATTACACAAACTCATTCATACAAAAAGAGGAAAAAGTCCACACATATTTACAAGGCGATTATCCCATACACAATTTGCTGAGCACAAATTTTCAGCCCAGAGTCGCAATTCCCCTTTGATGCAGTGCAATTACTGAATGTTTACGCAGCAAAGCAGTGAAACACACATTAGACTGTGAGGTGACCTCGAGAATTATGCACCGCCCAGAGAACAATGT